AAGCCTTTGGGAGGCTGAGGTGAATGGATTGCCTGAGCCTGCAGGTTCGAGACCCGCCTGTGCAGGCAAGACCTCATCTCTACAATAAATCAAATCTCTACAATAAATCACCACCGGGCGTGGTAGCGCGCCCCTGTAATTCCGGCTACTTGGAAGGCTGAGGTGGAAGGATCGCCGGAGCCCAGCAGGTCGAGGCTGCGGTGGCCAGGAGCGGCCACTGCACTCTAGTCTAAGCAACAGTGAGACTCCAACTCAAAAAAAAAAAAAAAGAAAAGAAAAAGAATGAGATGTCATTTATTTAAATGCCAGAGTTACATTGTGTTTGCTTCAACACATACACACACACACACACACACACACACACACACACACACACAGAGACATTTGATAATATTTTAAAAGATAACATGTAAGAAAACAAAGATTACAGTGTTAACTAGAAGTGTAACATTCAAATTCAGAATCACTGTGACCATGAGGCACCACAGTTTAAAATCATTGAGTTCTCTGATTGTTCCTGGTAAAATATTGAATGTAAATGTGTTTAATCCAGACATGTTTTGTTGGTTATACTGCTATAACCAATGCAAGTCAGGCTTTTACTTAGAATCTTAGATTATACAGCTGACTGATAAGCAATAGTATAGCAATGGTTTCAAAGAGAGTCACAAAATAAATAATTAGAGGCCCAAACCTGTGAAGAAGTTTTTAAGAAATAAGATTTCAGGTCCCAGCATGGTGCCTCATGCCTGTAATTCCAGCACTTTGGGAGGCAGAGGCGAAAGGATTGCTTGAGCCCAGGTGTTTGACACTAGCATGGGCAACATGATGAGACCCTGTCTCTACAAAAAAAAAAGAAAAGAAAAGAAAAAAAAAATTATCTGGGCACGGTAGTGCATATTTGCAGTTTTAGCTACTTGGGATCCTGAGGTGGAAGATTTCCTGAGCCCAGGAGATGGACGCTGGAGTGAGCCGTGATCGTGCACTGCACTTCAGCCTGGGTGACAGAGTGAGACCTTGACAAAAAAGAAAGAATGATTTTAGAATCCAGATAAAGGGTAGGTAGCTAAGTGGCAACTAATTACAGCATAAAAGGGTGTATAATGACTAGGCATTTTTCCTTTCTGGTGAGTGAACAAAAAGAAATGTCTTTAGTGGCATTGAAGAGATACAAGGATTAGCAATGAGCAGGAGCTTTCTAGGAATGTGTGTCAGTAAGATGATTATAGCTACACACAGTGCAGGCCCTCTCAGCTGGCTGGAACCTGAAATGCGTCATATTTTTCCCTCAAATCAAGATTGTTTGTTAAAAAATTACATTATGTTCACTTCATATTTTCCTTGAAACACTGCTGACTATGCTTGATTTGGGGCCAGAAATAAAGTTTAATAAGATGATCTTCCTACTCCCCCCATTCCATCAGCATAAGGAGACCTTTGTATACATAAGAAGGCTCTGTCTTCAGAAAATCTAAGGCGCTATAAAGAATGCTTTGTAAAGACTGCAAAATACCAATGTGTGTTTCAAGATGGGCTAAATTCTGTATGAAAACTGTATTTGCTCCAAACCTAAAATGATCTTAGAAAAAGTCAATACAAAAGCTCAGATTTGAGTTCATGGCATAGAGGACCCAAGCTTAATTTTTTAATTTGCCATATTTTGGAATCAGTAATTCTTTACTCAAGTTAAATTTTTTACTTTTTGAGTCAGGGTCTCACTCTGTCACCCAGACTACCCAGACGAGTTCAGTGGCGTGATCACTGCTCACTGTAGCTTCAACCTCCTGGTCTCAGGTGATCCTTCTGCCTAGCCTTCAGAATGGCTGGAACTTCAGGCATGCACCACCATGCCTGGGTAATTTTAAAATTTTTTTGTAAAGATGAGGGCTCGCTATGTTGCCCAGGCTAGTCTCGAACTCCTGGGCTCAAGCAATCCTCCCACCATGGCCTCCCAAAGTGCTGGGATTACAGGTTGTAAGCCACTGCGCCCAGCCTCAAACTAAATTTTTTATCTTATCTTTTGATGTCACTTATTTATCAGGTAGAGCAGGTGATAGTTTTATTAGTTTCTCCATCTCTAACTCACAAGGAGACTCAGACAAGTCACATAACCTCTCTGAGCCTCAGTTTCCTCTGTAAAGTGAGGCTGTGGATGCATGATCTCTGAGCTCTAACATTCTTTCAATGAAGCTAAAATGATCCAAGTCATATGTGTGTGTATGTGTCCATACACATGTATGTTTTAACATATGTGGTATTGCATGTGCACTAAATGTCTTTAGCATGCACCCCACATGTACACATGTTCTCCATCTATATGCAGTTCAGTGGTGGGACATTTGTGATGTATGCTGTGGGGAGATGCTCAGATGCTTTCTCAGGGCCAGTGTCCTTCCTTCCTCAGATGCTGGGCTTGTTGGTTGCTAAGGGTGCACAGCTGAGTCCCTTTCAGGCCATAATCTCTGCTGATGGAAGTTGTCTTGCCCAGGTTTATGCCAACTCCAGGGTGCAGCCCTTGTCTAATCCCTGGTCAATTTAGGGACAGGATGCAAAGACTCAGCTGCCCTTCCCCATGTGAAAAGCCACTCTGTAAGGCCCTCTGATCTCCAGAGCTCCTGGAGGATCAGCTGTGACCTTTGTTGCAATCATACTGCAGTTCAGATTTTCCCTTTACCTCATCCCACATCCCTCATCCCTGAAGAGGCTTGTTCCCAAGATCACCACCCAATTAACCTTGTGCACATCAGTCCCCCAGGGAAGCCAAACTACAACCACATGCATTTCTAGAAAATGTCCCTTCTTCTGGTTGGGTGTGGTGGTTCATGTTCGTAATCCCAGCAATTTGGGAGGCCGAGACAGGAAGATTGCTTGAACCTAGGAGTTCAAGACCAGCCTGGACAACATAGCAAGACCTCATCTCCATTTCTAAAAACAAAAATTTTTTTTTAAAGAAAATTTACCCTCTTTTGACCTGGTGGCTATTTAAGTAATGACACTTCCCATGTTGTGGTCATGAAACAAAACAAAGCTAACTGGAGGAAGGTGTATTTTCAGCTGTACTAAGGAGTGTTCTTATAGGCAGACTGATCTACTCCCTTCCCAGCCACTGACCTTGAATGGTACACCCATGAATCTTGGGACATCTCACTTTTTTAGTAAATACTTTTTTTTCCTTCAGTTTTTAATTTTTTTAACCTTTAAGAAAAAGATAGAGTGACTAAATTTGGTCTCTGAAGTTGAATGCTTTAGAGTCTAATGATGGAATTGTCTGAATTAATAAGAATATAGTTCATGTGACATTTATAGAGAGTGACAATCTTGTAGCCTTTAAAATTGGGTCAAATTGAGGGTTCCATTAAAAGCATATGGTTTAGTAAAACTTTATAAATATATTTAAAGTTTATTAACCAAAAAATCCAAGTTGAATTTGTATTATTTAAACCAAGTTACATTTATATTCTTTTCTACTGGTCTAGGCATGCTTGATATTTAGGATGTCAAGGTTGTGTAAAAACAAGCAAGCCGCCATTACTGGCTGGTTGGTCTAATTGTTATAGTAGCCTTGGTGATACTCATTCACGTACTTGTAACTCTTCAGTTTTCTAAAATGCTCTTTGTTCTTCTCACAGCTAAAGTTTGCTTATTTAGGGACCTTTCTGTGATCATTGACACCTATTATTGAGAGTCTAGTGGGCAGTGGGTGCACTGAATGCTTTTGAACTGTGGTTGAGGTAGGAGTTCTTAACTTGTTTTATGTTCAGCTTGTCTGTCAATATCTCTTTTCCTGTTTAATTTCAAAGCTTTTTGTTTTCAAATTTATTTTCTCAGAAGAATTACCTTGTACGTGCCCACTATGTACCTCAGACAGAGGGAGCTGTGTTAGCACAACAGAAGGGATCCAACTCGCTAAAGAACTAGGAGCGACCTATCTAGAACTCCACAGTCTTGATGACTTCTACATAGGAAAATATTTTGGAGGAGTGGTAAGTGGAAATTCCTCCCACGTATAAACTCTTCTGTCAGGCTGGCTCTTTAGTTATTTTCTGGCACATCCATTAGAACTTTAGTTTTATTTATGAGCCAGAGTCTCACTCTGTTGCCCAGGCTAGAGTGCAATGAATACTCACAGCTACCACAGCCTCAACCTGCTGGGCTCAGGTCATCCTTCCACGTCAGCCTGTCGAGTAACTAGGACTACAGGTGCACACCACCACACCCGGTTAGGTTTTTTTTGCTGTTGTTGCTTTGTTTTATTTTTTTATTTTTTTAATTTTTTTTTTGAGTCGGAGTCTCACTCTGTCGCCCAGACTGGAGTGCATGGCCACTCCTGGCCACCGCAGCCTCGACCCGCTGGGCTCCGGTGATCCTTCCGCTTCAGCCTTCCAAGTAGCCGGAACTACAGGCGCGCGCTACCACGCCCGGCTGATTTTTTGATTTCTTGTGGAGATGAGGTCTCGCTGCCCAGGTGGGTCTCGAACCCCTGCGGGCTCAGGCAATCCACTCACCTCAGCCTCCCAAAGGCGCGGGATTACAGGCTGAGCTTCTGAGCCCGGCTTGTTTTATTTTTTTAATTGTAGACATGAGACCTTGCCATGCTGCTCAGGCTGGTCTTGAACTCCTAGACTCAGACAGTCCTCTTGCCTCAGCCTCTCAAAGTGCTGGGATTATAGGCCTGAGCCACTGCGCCCAACCTGATGTCAGATTTAATAGTAATCTTTGTACAGCTCAGTGAAGTCCTGAAAGTTCTCTTTCATTTCCATCTACTAGTTGAAAAGAAGAAATTTTCTCTTTGTGTGTGCTTTGGCTAAATTTTATATCTTCCTAATCTTGTGGCCAACACAGCTTCTTGTGGGCTGTGTGGTGAGCCAGGGTCTGCTTCCTCGGTTGCAGTGCCATTTATTGGGTTCTGGAGTCATGTTGATGCTTAGCTTACCACACAGAGCCTCCCCTAAAATGTTAGGTTGTAAGGCCCTTGGAGAATACTTTGGAGTTGTATCACTTAAGGATTTACTGAGGCTGGGTGCAGTGGCTCATACCTGTAGTCCCAGCACTTTGGGAGACTAAGGCGGGAGGTTCACTTGAGGCCAGGAGTTTGAGACCAGCCTGAGCAACATACTAAGACCCCAACTCTACAAACAGTTAAAGAATTAGCTGGGTATGGTGATATGCACCTAGGGTCCCGGCTACTCAGGAGACTGAGGCAGTAGGATTGCTTGAGCCCAAGAATTGGGGGCTGCAGTGAGCTATCATTGCACCACTGAACTCTATCCTGAGTGACACAGAGAGACCCTGTTTCAAAAAAAAACCAAAAAAATTTTACTGACTTAGGAACAATCTTTCCAACCCTTCAAGTGACTTCTCTTAACAAACAAATCTGAAAAACATGAGTGAGCAGTTAAAAACCAAAGAAAACTCTATATTAAGGAAGAACACTTTGGCATTCTCCATGAGTTCCCTATCTCCTCACCAAGTACTCTTTCCAATATGCCAGAATATTCATTATGTAAATTTGTGTTGAGGTGTTGAGGTTTCCACAGATGACTACAGAAATTTCTCGAGTTCAGGAGTTAACTAAACTGGGTACAATAAAGACCAACTATAAACGGTACTAATTTTTGTGATATAAATGGCTATAACTCACCCAGTAATATAAAGAAACATTAATATTACAGCTTTAAGGAAGATGCACTCCCAGTGTGGATATTTTCAATGACCATGAGAAATATTTGCCATATTTGTTTATCTTGCTTAGCAGTGAGAGGGGAGGTAGAGGATTGAGAGTGAATTCTCCTGTCAAGCAGATTAAATTGTAGTAGCTTTTTAAAAAAGTCTTAATGTGGCCAAGAATCATGCGTTTCCCTGAACTACCTAGGGAGTTGGGGCAAAAAAGATGGCTTGGTTTCATTTGTTGGACGGCTTCATTTGTTGGGTGGTTTCATGGTTTGGATTTGGTTTCATGTATTGAAGTGGAGGCTATTTTCCTTGGGAGCCTTCAGTCTTCTTCTCATTCCAGAATCCTGAACCTGAAATACTGCAATCACTTTCCCCCCCTTCCACCTCCTACTTTCTCTTCTTTTTGTTCCTTTTTTCTCTTTCTTCCCAGCGCCCCATGTTGCCATTAGAGTTAGAGGCATGAGAATTGAAGATGCTGTCAAGGCTGGGAGAAAGATGGTGTTTCCTTTTTTCCTTAGCTCAAGACTTGATGAGAACATGGAAATAAAATCAGAATGATCTTTTTTATTTTAATTTTAAATTCTTATACTCCTCCGAGGTTCATGCAGACCAGGGAGAGTTGGTCCCTAACTCCTTGGACCTGAGACCACCCCTCTTCTTCTCACTCCCTGCTCCATCTCCTGCCCTTGTGAGCTTCATGCACACAAATGGACATCCAAGCTCCATTCACTCCCCCTCCCAGGAGCTTGAGCTCAGGAGTTTGAGACCAGTCCGGGCAACATAGTCCAGGTTGGAGTACAGTGGCACGATCATGGCTCACTGAAGTCTTGAACTCCTGGGCTCAGGCAATCCTTCTGCTTTAGTGGAGGCAGTTCCAGAGTAGCAGGCATTACAGGCACGCACCACCATGCCTAGCTAAATTTTTAATTTTTTGTAGAGATGAAGTCTTGCTGTGCTGCCTAGGCGGGTCTTGAACTCCTGGGCTCAAGCAATCCTCCCACCTTGGCTTCCCAAAGTGCTGGAATTACAGGCATGAGCCACTGTGCCTGACTTTAGAATGGTCTTTACATTCCTGTAAAGTACAACTGGGATCTTGAGAGTAAGAAATAATGGCATTGGCAAGATTATGGATGGTGTCGATAATGTCAGAGTGACAGGAGCATTTAAAGTTTTGCATTTAAGAGTCGGGGATGATGAGCTGGGCAGCTCTTTCTTCAGACCTGGGCGAGAGGGACACCTGCCCTTGAGACGTAGAGAGCCCCATCTGGCCCTCCTCCAGCTGCTTCCCTCACCACATGGCAAGGGCAAAGGAGCCAAGATGATGTGCCCACCTGGAGCTCATACCCCCCTTCTGGACTTGCATCATCCAATATGGTAGCCACATGTGGCTATTTATATTTTCAAAACTGAAATAAATTTCAGTTCCTCAGGCATACTAGCCACATTGCAGATGCTCTGTAACTACATGTGGTTAGTGGCTACTGCATTGGACAGTTGTGATGTTCCGGAACTTTTCCATCATCACAGAAAGATCTATTGGACAGTGCTGTGACTCTGCTCCAAAACCCAGGACCCCGGAATTCTTGGACCACTGGTCTTGTGTCTGTTTTCAGGGCCTGTGCAGGCCTCTATTCTGGGTCTGTCTTCCTGAAGGTGGACTGCCCTGCTGATGGACCCATCCCTGGGCCTGGGAGGTGGCTGAGGGGAGTCTATTTTTGAGGAATAAGGGAGGGGGAGTGGATGGAGCTTGGATGTCCATTTAGCTCACAAGGGCAGGAGATAGAGCAGGGAGTGAGAAGAGGAGGGGTGGTCTCAGGTCCAAGGAGTTAGGGACCAGCTCTCCCTGGTCTGCATGAACCTTGGAGGAGTTTAAGAATTTAAATCCAGGACTGGGGACTGTGGCTCACGCTTCCAATCCCATCACTTCGAGAGGTGGAGGCAGAGGATTGCTTGAGTCCAGGAGTTTGAGACCAATCTGGGCAACATAGCAAGACCTCTTCTCTACAAAACTAAAAAATTAGCCAGATGTGGTGGCATGTGCCTGTAGTCCCAGTTATTTAGGAGGCTGAGGTAGAAGGATCACAGCCCAGGAGGTCAAAGCTGCAGTGAGCGGTGATCATGCCACTGCACTTCGGCCTGGACAACAGAATGAGAGCCTGTCTTAAAAAAAAAAAAAAAAGGTAAATAAATGAAAAATAAATGTAAATCTGACCTTTTTGGTTGTTTTTTATTTAAATAATTTATCTCATTTAACCCAACATATATCCCAAAATATCATAAAGGTTATTTAATAAGATGATTTATGTTCTTTTTGTACTAAGTCTTTGAAATCCAGTGTGTATTTTACACCGAAACCACATCTCAATTCAGAATCGCTACTTTGATGTGTTCTATACTCACATGTGATAAGTGACTGCTGAATTGAAATGAGCAGATCTGCAGACTGAGTCTCTCAAGAGCAGTGAAGATGCAACCAGCGCAGGCCTGGCACGGGCCCTGTAGGTCTACAGTGACATGAAACATTTCTTCTCGCATACAGTTTGGTTGGGATTCCCGCACATTTGACCAAGGAAGGACTACGTGAGGAAGAAGTCTTTCATTACTTTTGCCAGGCTTTTATGATGATATATTTTTCAAGGCAGGATTATAGAATATCTTTTACCTATCAATTTGTGTTCTTGATTTACAAAGTTTAAATCTGGCATGCCTAACCTACAGCCCACAGGCCACATGCCATCCAGGACAGCTAATAATGCAGTCCCTCAAAATTCTTTAATATCATGTGTTTTTAGCATTTATTTTCTTTGTGACCCCGTGTAGTTGCATTTTGGAAGTTCACAATCACGCCTTATTCGTGACATTGCTTTTTTGCAGCATGTTTGTGAGCAGCTGTTTTCAGTTATGAAACACACGAAGAACAAAATTCAAACAAACATTTCTGATGAGCACCTTGAGAACTCTCTAAGAATTGTGACCACTTCCATTGAACCAGATGTTAATAGATTAGTTTTACAAAAACAAAGTCAGATTTCCCACTAGTTTTATATTCTCAGTTTTCTAAGCTTTATAATCAAAATATTTCTTTAAAAAGAAGTCTTATTGTGTATAGACACTGACTCTATTATATAATTTATGTGCTGTCCAAGACAACTCCTCTTTATTTGATGCAGCCCAGGAAAGCCAAAAGGTTGAAAACCCCTGATCTCTATAGATCCTGGTTTAAATATCTAGATATGTGGTAGGTGGGTCACCTTTGGTAATTTTGCCCTAGGCCTTGCAAGGTAGGGCCAGTCCTGAAGTTTGTAAATACATGTGGATGAGATTTTAAATTTATAAAGGACAGATTTCAAAAAAATTTGTTCAAGAGACAAAAGCAAAGTTTCACAGTTAATAAGAACATCTGTAAACATAGAACCAGATCTCTTCCTGCCTTGAATTTCATCAGTATTAATGGTGGTTGGTGCCCACTAAGAAAATTATTGACAACCACAGAGTGGTAGTGATTATTCAGAATAGCCAGACATGTGTCATGGGTCTGTAGCTCAGCTACTTGGGAGGCTGAGGTAGGAAGATGGCTTAAGCCCAGAAGTTAGAGTCCAGCTTGGTCAGATAGACTTATCTATAAAAAACAAAATTAAAAAATATTTTTTTAAAACAGAGAATAAAGCATTCTTTCTTAAATATTTATGTTTAGACAAACAAACAATCTGCTCCATTAGATACATTTTTTTAAATTAAAAAATTGTTAGGGCTGGCATGGTGGCTCATACCTGCAATCTCAGTACTTTGGGAGGCCAAGGTGAGAGAATTGTTTGAGCCTTGTAGTTTGAGACCAGCCTGGGCAACATAGCAAGATCTTGTCTCTACAAAAAAATTTTAAAAATTAGCTGAGCGTGGTGGCGCATGGCTATAATCCCAGTTACTCAGGAGGTTGAGCAGGAGGATTGCCTGAGCTCGGGAGGTCAAGGCTATGGTGAGCTGGGATCATGCCACTGCACTCCAGCCTGGGCAACAGAGTAAGACCTCAACTCAAAAAAAGAAGAAAAAAAATTGTTTACAGGCATTGTGTGTGTGTGTACACATATATATAGAACAGACATTTAAAACATTTGAAAAATGTGATTTGAGGTACAAATTATCACATTAAATATCTAATGTTGTTGGACATTTAATTAAAATTTGATTCATGTTTTAGTTGGAGTATTTTATGATTCAAGCCTTAAATCAGAAAACAAGTGAAAAAATGAAGAAAAGAAAAATGAGCAGCTCGTTTCATGGACTTAGACCACCTCAACTTGAGCAACCAGGTACATTTGTGAGCCCAAGTGTCCTGAGGACTACAACTTAGTTTTAATTACTTCAGCCGTGCATGTGTGTGTCTGTGTGTATGTGTGTGTGTCTGTCTGTCTAGAGATAAGGCAAAAATGACAAAATGTTAATAATTGCAGGATCCAAGTATAAGATACACGTGTTCATTGTATCATTCTTTCCATTTTTTTCACATTTGAAAATATTCTTAATACAAGGTTGGGGAAAATAAAGTTAAAAGCAAATAAATAAATTATATTGACTGTTACCAGAATTTTCTGCATAATTCTGTGATAGGAATAGTAGCATAGTACTCTATTAGATCAGCTTGTTTGGAGCATTGTTTTAAAAGTTCGCACTTGATAAATATTTGTTGAAAGAATGAATATAAATATAAACTAGAATAGGAGGACATTTCCAGGTTTTTTAAAAAGTATGGATATAAAGCCAGGCATGGTGATGTGCGCCTATTGTTCCAGCTACTCTGGGAAGCTGAAGTGGGAGGGTCCCTTGAGCCCAGGAGTTATAGTTCAGCCTTGGCAACATAGTGAGGCCCTCAGCTCTAACAAAAAATGCAGACATAAAGATCATAAATGATACGCACTTAGCTTTGAATTTCCTGGTGTTCTCAGCGAAAGGGGAGATGCTGTCTATTACATAGCAAACCCTGGGGCCTTCTAATCTTCCTAGATTAGAAGAAAAGTGACAAATGACCAAATAAGTAATGCAGATAGTTCTTAGTTCTTACTGGCCAAGATGAAAAAATATACCATTTCCTCTGATAAAGAAAATGTTTTCAAGTCATTTAGCACTGAGAAATTTCTCATGGGGATCTTCATGTGGGGGCACTAGGTGAATAGTGGACGGGCCTTCCAAAGTGTCCCTTCAGCAAATGCAGGCTCAACTGTCACACTATTTCTGAGAGTGGTAGAAGGAACACCAAACATAACCCAGGGGTCCAGGACAATGAAGTCTGGCTACACATTTGTTCTGAGGCTGATTTGTTCCAAGGACAGATCTGGGGCTCAGGGACACATGGAGTTTAAGATTCTGTGAAGGAACCACAGGCAGTGGAAAGGAGGGTGGTCTGGGGGATAGTGCAGAGAGAGCCTGGCCCCCAAAGGACCCTGTTATTGTCTGTTTTATAGACTGCAGTTTGCTTTGTAACAAAGGATTTTCTTTGCTAGAGGAGTTTGAATTTCACCAATTCAGATGATTTAGACCACTTTCCTCAACTTGTCTGGATAAAAATGAGACAGCAGATATTTTCCAGTTAGGGTCTATGGTGAAGGCCTGGCGTGTGGGTATCCTGAGTTGATCAAAGGCTTCACTCTCTTTTCTGGTGATCAAACTAGTAGGTGGAAGTTTACACTCTCTTTGGGGAACAAGGGAGCTTAGTCGACTTGTGAGGTGTGCTGAGTGGAAAGGGCTGGTTCTGGGTACATACTGTTTTATAGGGAGAAAAAAAAAATACTAGTTTTAGGATCCAAATAAAATGGTTGAAATGGTTTCAAACAATAGAGCCCAAGATTCTAAGCCTTGACTTTGAAAAGTTGCAGAATTATAATAGCTTAGTCCTCCATCTCCACTTCTGGTCCCAGGAGGGAAAGTACTTCAGATGTGAGGGTGGGTTCTTCACAACTTCTTTAATACTCCTTAAATTTTTAAATCAAAGGTGTAAGCAAAGACTAATGACTATCAAAATTGTAAAGATCAGTATTTGGCTGGGTCGGTGGCTCAGCCTATAATCCCAACACTCTGGGAGACTGAGATGAATGGATTGTCTGAGCCCGTGGATTCGAGACCAGCCCAGACAACTTGGCGAGAATTCATCTCTACAACAAATAAATTTTTAAAAAATTAGCCTGGCGTGGTAGCCTGCACCTGTGGTTCCAGCTACCTGGAAGGCTGAGGCTGAAGGATCACCAGAGCCCAGCAGGTTGATGCTGGGGTGTCTGTGAGCGTGCATGCCACTGCACTCCAGCCTGGGTGAAGGAGTGAGACCCTAACTCAAAAAAAAAAAAAAAAAGATCAGTATTTGGAGGAATATTTTGTTTGGGGAGACACAAATAATGAGAAATGTTATTTTATTACTACTTATGTCATTAGTAGGTTTTTTGTTTGCACTATAAAACGTAAATGCAGTATTCATGTGTGTCTGTGTTATAAAAACCTGTAATTCCTGAATAACTAGTTTATAATGCTTATATGTTATGTTAAGCTATATAAAGTTGCTGTTTTGGTAGGCCAAAATTTGTCAAATATTGGCAATTTCCTATGGTTCAACCTAACATTTTAAAATATCGTGTGTTGTATTTAAAGTAAAACGGAATATTGCATCTGTAGATCTAAAGAGGTGTTTATTATTTTTATTTTCCTTTTTGAAACAGAAAAAATGCCTGTCTTAAAGGCTGAAGCGTCACATTATAACTCTGACTTAAATAACTTGCTGTTCTGCTGCCAGTGTGTGGACGTGGTGTTTTACAATCCGGATTTAAAGGAGGTGATAGAGGCCCACAAGATCGTTCTCTGTGCTGTAAGCCATGTTTTCATGCTGCTTTTCAATGTGAAGAGTCCTACCGACATCCAGGATTCCAGTATCGTCCGAACTACCCAGGATCTCTTTGCCATAAACAGAGATCCCATGTTTCCAGGTGCTGGCCAGGAGTCTCCAGGCAACCCACCGTTGCGAGTCATTGTCAAAGATGCCCTCTTCTGTTCTTGTTTATCAGACATCCTCCGCTTCATTTACTCAGGTATCTTGTCAAATAATTCTGGTCACTTATGCCCTCTTATGCTTTTGGTTCATTTTGCGTTTTTTTTTTTTTCTTATCATCTGAGGTGAAGGAAATAGTATTTGGTTTATACGAGGGGGTACCCAACAAACTGGAATTTATTTATAAAACAATGGTATTTATTCTTACATGTTTAAACTTCAGTCACCTTCAAAGTATTCTCTGTTTGATGCAATACACCTATCAAGAGACTTTTTCCAGTGCTCAAAACAGTTTTTGGACTCGTCAATATTGATGTCTTTTAGTTCTTCTGCCATTTTTGTTTCACCTCTTTCTTAACAGCAAAACATTCTCTTTTGAGGACTTTTTTCATCTGGGGAACAAAAAAAAAGTCACTCTGGGTAAGATCAGGTGAACAGGGAAGGCAAGGCATGAGTTTCATGCTGTTTTTGGTCAAAAACTGCTGAACACTCAGTGCAGTGTGGGCAGATGCGTTGTCATGGTGGAAGAGCTTGTCACCTGTTTGCCACAAATCAGGATGTTTCTTCTGCAAATTATGACACAACTTTCTCAAAACTTCCAAATAGCCGGATGCAGTGGCTCACACCTGTAATCCCAGCACTTTGGGAGGCTGAGGTGGGAGGATTGCTTGAACCCAGGAGTTTGAGACCAGCCTGGGCAGCTTAGCGAGACCTTATCTCTCCAAAAAATAAAAAAATTAACTGGCTGTGATCAAAAGAAAGACAAACAAAAAAACTTCCAGATAAAGAACTTTGGTTGACCATTTGATTTGGAGGGACAAATTCCAAGTGTACTACAAGGGGCCTGCCCTCCAAAAGATAATTGCTTTTTTGGGGGTGGGGGGAGCGGGTACTCCTTTGTATATAGGAATTAGTCCAAGTTTTCCAATCTTCATTACAAATGTACTTGCCTTTTTTTTTCCCCCACCAGTTTTGTTTTATTGTAAATATACATTACATAAAATTTACCATCGTGACTATGTTTAGGTGCACAGTTCTATGGTATTAAATACTTTCATGATGTTATGCAACTGTCACCACCATCCATCTCCTTAACTCTTTCATCTTGTAAAACTGAAACTCTTTACCTATTAAGCAATAACTCCCCGTTCCCCTCCTTCCAATCCCTGGCAATCACACCACTCTATTTTCTAGAATTTTGACTACCGTAAGTGCCTCACATAGGTAGAACCTACAGTATTTTCTTTTTTTGTGACTGGCTTATTTTACTTAACATGGTGTCTTCAAGGTTCATCCAGGTTGTAGCAAATGTCAGAATTTCATTCCTTTTTAGGGGCTGCTGATAATATTCCATTGTATGTATATACCACTTTTTAATCCATTCATTCATAGGTGGACACTGGATTACTTCCACTGTCTTAGCTTTCATGAGTAATGATACTATGAACAGGAGTGCACAAATATGTCTTTGGAGACTCTGCTTTTAATTCTTTTGCATATATACTCAGAAGTGCAAACACTGGATCATATGCTAATTCTATTTTTAAAATTTTTTTTTAAATTTTGAGTCTGAGTCTCATTCTGTCATCCAGGCTGGAGCGCAGTGTCACAATCACAGCTCACCATAGCCTCGGCCTCCTGAGCTCAGGCGATCCTTCCACCTCAGCCTCCTGAATAGTTGAGACTACAGGTGCGTGCCACTATACCTGGCTAATTTTTTTAAAATTTTTGTAGAGATGAAGTCTTGCTATGTTGCCCAGGCTGGTCTTGAACTCCTGGGCTCAAGCTATCCTCGTGCCTTGGCCTCCGAAATTGCTGCAATTATAGGCGTGAACCACTATAATTAGTGAGCCACTAGTCCAATTTTCAAAAAAAAATTTTAAGGAGCTGCCATACTGTCTTCCATAGTGGCTATATGATTTCACCTTAGTCTAGTGGTCAAGGGTTCTAATTTGTCCACATCCTTGCTAACACTTATTATTGTCTGAAATTTTTTTTTTTTTTTTTTTTGAGTTGGAGTCTCACTCTGTTACCTGGAGTGCAGTGGCCGCTCCCGGCCACCGCAGCCTCAACCTGCTGGGCTCCGGCGATCCTTCCACCTCAGCCTTCCAAGTAGCTGAAACTACAGGCACGCACTACCACGCCCAGCTAATTTTTGATTTATTGTAGAGATGAGCTCTCGCCAAGTTGCCCAGGCGGGTCTCGAACCTGCAGGCTCAGGCAATCCACTCACCTCGGCCTCCCAAAGTGCTGGGATTACAGCCTGAGCCACCGAGCCCGGCCTGAATTTTTTTTATAGTAGCCATCTGATTGGGTGTGAGATGGTATCTAATTATAGTTTTGATTTACATTTCCCTAATACTTAGTGACTTAGTGATGTTGAGCATTTTTTCATATGTTTATTGCACTTGCCTTGGTTTTAATCTACTTGTAAAATCAATAATCCGCTGAACAGGTATGTTAATATTTTATATTTTTAAAAGTTATCCAAAATATGAAATACAAGAACTTATTGTCCAGCTGAATTTAAATAAATAAAATTTTCCTAGAGTATGAGATTTAGTGTCTACACCTTAAAACCTAGCTATTTACTCTTGAATTTGACTTAGATTTGGAGGAAGTCAGGGATAGAATTGCATTCCATTTAGGAACTGGCAATCAAAATCTAACATTAGTTGAGGTCAGATCAGGTTTGGCTGTGACTCTTACATGTTACTTTTTCCCCCTTACTGTGCCCTTTCTTTTTAAGATTTAGCTTATTAATTATTTTTTCTTCTTTTCCTTTTAAAAACTCAGTAGCAACTATATTTTAAAGAACAGAAGTTCTGAGTCTTTTTAGCAGATGAATTGAAGGTCTCACATCTAAGTGTCCCATGTAAGAATGGAAAAGAATTTCTGTTAAATGATTTTTAAAGTAAGCATCTAAATATACATTTTCTGAGAAGTAGTCTTTAATTGTTTTTCCAGCTTAGAATCATGTGCTGATGAGATACTAGACTAAGGTCACTCCTCTGGAATGTGTCTGGAGAAATACTTATAATCTACTTTTAGGTTTCAGATAATGCCTAATTAGGAACAGATAAGAAGTGTATTGAGGTTTGCAAACAAAACAAGTATTATTTCGTATAGATAAGAACATCTGGGTAGCCTTCATTTAAATGGTTAATGTTAAAAATAAAATACTACTTTTTTTAGTTGGGTTGTGGTTATGTAATTTTATAAGTTAAGGTCAGATGTCGTGGCTCACACCTATAATCCCAGCACTTTGGGAGGCCAAAGCAGGAGTTTGAGACCAGCCTGAGCAACATAGTGAGGCCTCGTCTCTATACAAAAAAGAAGTCAAAAAGTAAACCGGCTATGGTGGCGTGCACCTGGAGTCCCAGCTACTCAGGAGGCTGAAGCGGGAGTATCATCTGAATCTAGGAGGTCAAGGCTGCAGAGAGTCATGATTATGCCACTGCACTCCAGCCTGAGTGACAGGGTGAGACCTCGACTCAAAAAATGAAAATTGAATTATGGTTTTGAAAAGTATAGTTGCAGCATGCAGATTTATGTGGAGATATAGATATGGGGGCAGAGTGTGGTGGTAGATCAGTGAATGCTGGCTTGGCAAAGGCAAATAATCACATATCCAGTACACACCTAGCATGCTGCCTTCAGTGGGTTCTCTGTAAGTTTCAGTTGAATCAAGGGGGTAGGTTCTAGTACCTGGAAGTTACCATATGAGTAAGTCACACTAGTTAAAGATCTCATTTAGTACCACAGATTTTAATGTTTAAACTTAGAATCTGACGGTTCAGAACTTAAGGCCAATTTTGAAAAACTAAAATGTTTATATGTTAAAAGAAAAAAATTGTTTTAATGATATGTTTAAGGAACAGTGAAAGATATGTTTGACTTTTCTTTTTTATAATTTTTCTGTTGAAATTATAAGAATTATTCAGCAAGTTTCCTACAGCTCCCATTGCCTTCTTTCAAAGGCACTCTGAAGCCAGTTATATCCTTTTCAATTTGGTAGCAGTAAAATAGCCCAGTATATCTCCAGTGACAGGGCCTGCCTGGCTTTCTCCCAGGGAGTGACTTTTTTAAATTACAAAATCAATACAAGTGGGGAAAAAAAGGGAAAGAAAAGAAAAAGTTCTCGAATCCCAGGTCCCTCCCCCAGAGTAATTTACCTGTTGTAAGTTTTCAGTGTATTCACCCTGATGCTGTTTGAAAGGATTAATGTAATCTACTGGGGAAATCTGCATGAATGAAAATGTAACCCTGGGTCCCTGCTGTTTCCCGGGGATTGCGGCAGGAGCGTGGAGTGGGAGGGATGACTTGTGGGAGTATAGGTGGGCAAGGCCTGTGGAAGCTGCCCCTGCTGTTCTCAGAGCCTGAACTGGAGCTTTAAAGAAAGCTCTTCTCCAGCGGTGGAGGGAGGGAGGCACAGAGCAGGAAGACAGCAGTCTGGTCGGGAGGCCCGTATTAGTCTGTTTTGCGTTGCTATAAAGAAACATCTGTGGCCGGGCTATTTATAAAGAAAAGAGGTTTATTTTGGCTCATGGCTCTGCAGACTGTACAGGAAGCATAGTGCCAGCATCTGTTCCTGGCGAGGCCTCAGGAAGCTTCTGGTCATGGCAGAAGTTGGGAAGAGTGGAAGGTTATGCCACAGGGCAAGAGCAGGAGCAAGAGAGAGACAAGTGGGAGCTCCCAGACTCTTTTTAACAACCAGCTCTTCTTTAAAAAAATGTATTTTATTTTAGCATTGTAGGGGTACAAGTGAGGATTTCCTATATAAGTAAGTTGCACAAAGGTGAAGTGTGGGCTTCTAGCTGGCCCTCTCTCCCCCTTATAGTGAACCCCATGTGTTGCCACGTGCCCCCCCCTTCCTTCCTCCCTCCACCCCCGGGCAGTGTCCAGCATCTGCCAGTCCTACCCATGAGCTCCTTCGACTGGTGATCAGGGCCCGTTTATGAGTGAGAATATGCGGCATTCATTTCTTTGTTTCTGTAATAACCAGATCCCATGTGAGTTAATAGAGCCAGGACTCACTCA